GACCAATGGCCATGGGAGACAAGAGAGGTTTGGTACCTTGGTTCTGAGACAGATGAACAACAGATGCTTTCTCAGTCTGATCATCAAGTAAGTACTAGAGGTAAATCAGAATGGCGTTTAAAAACATCTATAATAGGCATGTTTAGCTAGAAGAGGGCCACTGTATAATACATCTGTTGGAGAGTTAACCTGCTTAGGACAGAAGGCCTATAATGCTGATACAAAAGATACTACTTGGTTGTCAGCTTCAAATGTCTCACTAATCCTTTTGCCAATTACACCAATTTAAAAGAGGTATGGTTTGACTTATCTGCTACATCCAATTGGAAAACCCCAGCGAATTTGTACTGGATCCGTGGTAAGAAGGCATATTCAGAGTTACCACAAGATTGGGAGGGAGCATGTGTACTAGGTATGCTCAAACCATCCTTCTTCTTGTTGCCACTTGAGACAGGAGAGACCTTGGGAGTTAAGGTTTATGATGTGAATCATAAAAAGAAGCGAGCGTCCTTGAATATAGGTAGTTGGGAAGATGAGTGGCCTCCCCAACGTATCATAAATTACTATGGAGCTGTTACCTGGGCTCAAGATGGTACTTATGGATATAGAACCCCAATATATATTCTCAACCGTATTATAAAATGTAAAATCTAGATGAGATTGGATGGTGATAATGTTGAATCTTCTTAATTTCTTCTTATCTTCAGTTGATTGATATATATACGTCTTTTGTATCTATATTCTTGGGCCAAATGTGGGGATGGATGCATGGGATTGGTTGGGAAAGAGTGTGTGGGTGGGATTATGTTCTGTGTAAATTAGTGTGGGGTAGGTCTTACCTCAGTGCCACTTGGGATTCGGGCCAGCAAACAGCTTCCCTCCCGCCCGCCCTATTGGTATATTTAGTCACAGCTAGCCGGGGGTATGTCCTTGCCAATTGAGTTTGAGGGGTTACGTTTAAGTATATGGAATGAGATGAACAAGTTTTTAAGGTCTCAACCTCCCCTGCTTCAAACGATTAGCATTAGGTTGCCTGAGGTGTCGTGCCCATCGAGCGTGGATAAGGTCGGCTGATGGCGGGCATTGGAAAGATATGATTTTTATGACGAGGGGGGAGGTGAGAGGAAGTGGTGATTAGGAACCACTGTATGTTTATTGGCAAGGACGGTTGGGTCACTGTATAACACTATGTGTGGAGTTATAAATGTATATATGTTAATTTATGCTTATTTATGTCTAACATTTTTGGTTACAGAAAAAGAAGAGATTTAATAAATAAAGTTATGGATGTGTTATGCAGTAATTTA